TTCATGATGACCATTAAAGAACATCAACCCAAATCTTCTTTTCCACAGGTAACAGCATTGAGGATATAATAACCTCTTTAACTGACCAAGTGTCTGCTGTAGAGGGTGAAAATATCACACTGTCCTGCAACTATAGCACCTCAGATGACTACATACATTGGTATCGTCAGTATTCTAGATCAGCACCAGAATATCTCCTGCATATTATTGAAAGATCAGGGAAGGTACAGAATGCTAAGCCTCGAATGTCTGCTAAAGTTGACAAGGACAACAAGCGTGTAGATCTGGAGCTCTCCTCTACAGAAGTGACAGACTCTGCAGTGTACTACTGTGCTCTGAGGCCCACAGTGACAGGAAACTCACCGATGCTGTACAAAAACATGACTGCACTACTTAATATGGTAATGCATAATCAGCTAGGAGCAGCTCATGCTAAAAATACTAGATTCTCTTGTAACAATATGTACATTTTATTCCATAATAAATAGGATTTATTTAATACACATAAACCTCTGGTAGTAGTTCATTCCAAACTCCTTGATGCTGTACAGAAACCTGATTGCATCTCAATTACCAAACTGTGTTTCAATAATTTTGTCATTTTGGAACCTTACCTGAGTCTACATCTGCATATTCAAAATGGGAAGCTGGGGAGGCAACAGGCCTTGTGGTCTGGGAATCTGAGGGGGTGTTTTCCTCTGGTGAGATTATCATTGGTTCAGCGTCTAGAGTATACAGATGACAGTGCAAAAAAGCAAAATGATCCATTCAGTAGCATTTCTGATGATGAAGAATCCATGTGTAATTGTATCTGTAGGTATTTTTGAGCTCTGACTGACTGGCAAGAGTTACAATAATTAAGGTTTCAAGGAAGGCAAGTTAAACCCAGTGAGGCTACATTGCAGATGGTTCCTGTAATTATATGAAAAGTGCAAGAGAGACTTTTCCCAGTGTGTGTAATAATATGGCACCAGCAGTCTGGGATAAGCTCTGGATGATTCACCACCCACCACACCAAGATCCCTTTCCATTTTTTCTTTAAAACAGAAGGAAGAGCAGTTACAGTCATCCAAGTTGGGTCTGAACAAGGCCTTTGGAAAGGGCTCTCCCACATTAGGCCTCTCCACTGCATCACCGCTGTCCTTCAGCATCCCTCCTACAGCTGTCCTGCCTCACAGATGAACCACAGGCCCAAACAAGCCGCTTCCTCTGCCGTGTCATTGAGGCCAAGCGCCATAATATTGTTACTGTAGCTGAAGATAAGCAGTCAGAGATGGGAAGCGTTTTTCTCACCAGTTATGTCCAGCAACACCCTGTAAATGATGGACTCTTCCAGGAGCCAGTGTTTATGGATTTGACTTTTTCTATTTTAAATAAAAACCAGACCTTAAAAAAAGGTCATTGATATCTATTGTAAGGAGATTCATTAAAAGCAGTATTCGTACCATCCCTAAACTGCTCACTGTGCATAAAATTTCACAAGCCCCGAAGCTCCATGTTAAATCTTCAGGTCCTGTAAGCAACCTTTGAACAGAATCATGTAATGCATTGATTCTTATCTCGCTCATTAAAGAGTGAAAAAGAAAGCAGCCATCCATCAAAACACCCCCCACCGCCTACCTCCGGATATTTGTTTGCCACAGACAGACACATATCCAAAGTACTAAAATTCGAACCCCCCAAGAAATCTGCTTAGGCCCCCAGTCTGTGAAATGTACCAACCCCACCATGGTCACAACACAGTAAAATTTACTGGTTGGTGAAATGACCCCCCCCCCCTCCACCACACCAAAAAATAAAATAGGCCTAGGCTGGTGTTGTGGGGGACTAACGTAGGGGCGGGCCCTCTGTCCATTGCCTTAAGTGCCTGAACTTTTTATTTTAGGTCATCAACAGTAACACTAATAATATTTAGACTGGAAATTCAACATAATTCTGTAATTTAGCCAACAAGACTTTCCTATACTTCAGTTGTAAATAGTATGATATTTTAATATCAAGCTGGTGTCACAGTATGATATGAACACAATATTCCACTACATTTTATATGTAACTTTACTTTAAAAATATTTTAAATATTAAAAGGTTAATACCAAAACAGATTAAAGCCTCGCTACAGCAGGTCATGACCAGTGTTGGGGAAAGTTACTTGTAAATGTAATATATTACA